GTTGGTATCTATAATTCCATTTCCATACATACTTATTTTCAGGTCCAACATTAAAACTAAGAAGACCAATAGTAGTGAAGATGTATTCCAAAGAAATAGAAGAGTTTTACGCAGAGTAAGATGTCAAGGTCATACATTCCATCCATATCAAAACACCACTATAATTTGTGATACAAACAAAATGGAATTTTTAGTTAAAATTTATTTAAATTAATTATATTTTTATATTTGTATATTAAGGGAGAGTGTCCGCTTCATAAAAGTAGGACTTGAAGGTAGGTCCTGTATCCCTGTGAACAGTATTATATCAATTTTGGTTCTTTATGTCAATGCAGCGGGGAAATTCATTTGGATGTAATTATTTTCAAATACAGATTTTCACAAAATGTCCACAATATAATTCAGTTAAGCAGGATCTATATATATTAGTGTAGATATATCCTTATATATGAACATCCATCAGCCAATCAAATCTCTGCCCTCTCCAATGCTGGGATTTTGCTATGCAAACAAAAGGTGTATTCTGAGAAGCATCAGACACTGAATGTATATACTGACCATAAAATACAGGTAATATAGCATTTTTTTTATGTATACATTGCATTAACGTTACATATATGTATTTGAATTAAAGTCACACTACTGAATATTACACAGTATTTATAGCACCATTTTGCTCAAATGTGTAGAAATATATTTATTATTTAAATCAATTCAATCAATGTTAGAGTATACTTTACCTCTAACAATTGAAACAATATATACAATGAGCTATGGCATTGAATTAAATCAACTGGGCATTAAAGTTTTATTATTTTTTTTATAGGAATTGTAGACATGCCTTAAAAATGATATATTGGGTTCTATTTCTCTTCTCTTTGATCAATTTCTGTTGTAGAACTTTTGTTTATGTACATTGGACATTATTTTTCCATATTAGTGACCCAAGAATTTATCTGTATATCAATTATGTATTTGGTTTGTTTGTTTTTGTATATTTTGGTTCATTTGTTTTGTTTACAAATATATTTTTATACATATTTATGGTATGTTACATTGTTTTGTTTAGACATATATGTTTATTTTCTTGACGTCTTCCATATTATAGGGAGGTTCAAACAGCGAAGATTGGTCTAAGTTGACAGAATATGATAAAATACTATTTTTCAGTAGATAAATTTCATTATTTTCAATCTATATTTTTAATATAATAAATGTTAGTTTAATCTTGCCAGTGCTATTGTGCTATTATTGTATTTAGGATATGTTTTATATTGAGGGTTATATCGTTAATCAAATGAACAAGGATATTCTACAATTTTATTAATGCAGAACTAAGACTGGATGGAATACAAGACGCATACGATGTATTTTAAGTATTAGCTGGATTGGCTCAATGTTTCCTTTCATTATATAAAAATCCCATACTTTTTGCTTATATTGTAACTTACATTGGGAGTTCAAGAGCTTTTATTGCTTATCTAAAAGCTTTCATTTGCAACATTTAGATTTTCATTTCAATGTCTATGGTTCTTGTAATCAAAGATAGACGTTCAAAATTTGAACTGATATCCTGGCATAATTTGGTCTATATTACTGTAATTACAGAAACCATACAGGCCAGGTTCTAATATTAGCTGTATTTTGCCAAACAAAGTTTAGGAAACCTCTTTAGTCCCTGTATGGATGGAGTTGTCATGTGATATTTATGTCAGTTTTGCACTAAGACTTGCCTTGTTTTGATTAGAATTGGCATTTGTTTATGGTGTTAAGATGGTTAAATTTTTGTTATGAGTTTATTAATTGGTAAAGGAATTATTGTGTTATCAAAAATTAATTATAAAACAAAAAGTTTCAAATTTGTATCATATCATTAATGTTTAAAAGAGAATTGTGTATTTTGTAGATCTGATGTTTATAGTTATTTCATAAAAAAAAAATTGAATCAAATAGACATTTCTTTTTAATTTAAGATGAATGCACTTAAGCCTCTCTCAAGCATTTCCATACTGTTTCAACTCGGATGAGACAACTGGTTCTTATTGTGCTTCTATATAACAATCTACAATGATGGACTGAATTTGAGTAAAAATTCATTGTCTTAAAGCAGGACAGAGGAAATCCTTTATATT